TTTGAAGAAGCTTGCTTTTATCCATTTCCCCCTCAAATTTCAATGGGCGTTATGGCAGTAAACAGTAATATGTTGATGGTGTGACTAATGCTAAGCATTTTCTTTCAGAAAGGTAGCCTTGTTGAGCACGTTGAGAGGTGACTGAAGTGTGTGCCACATGCTGTGATATGACTGCAGGTGTTTCAACCGTGCCATATTAGCACTTCTCGTCAATGACAATACCGAGCTGTGAAGTGGTCCTTTCTCTGTTTGTCAACAACAAAAACAAACAACTGCTTACGGACCAGGTCACTGCTTGTTGCTTCGTTCCAAGAAAATGATATACGTCCAGGTTGAAAACTTGGTCCTGAGTCTGTTTCCGGTACATAAACCTAGATACGTTTAATTGATGGGCACGATATGTACCCAGTGGCACACGATAAATATTTACAAATACGTAACTCATGCTACGAAATATACTCAATTTGCTCTGTGTGTAAAACGTGAGTTAACTTCAGCGGGCTGTATATCAGGTATCTAATATTACTGGGAAATATTATCATCATCATCATCATCATCATCATTCACTAGTTCATTCATTATCCTTTAGGAATCGGATCCATTGATGGACAAGTAATATGCAAATTGTCCTAAATAAATATTTACAAATATGTCAGAAGTAGAGAGACCACCTGGAAGACCTAGGCATAGATGGGAGGATGATGTTATGATAGATCTCAGAGAAATGGGACGATATGGTATGGACTGGATTCATTTGGCTCAGGATATGGAGCAATAGATGGCTCTCATGAACACGATAACAAATTTTCGGTTTCCGTTAAATTTTGGGAATTTCTTGAACGGCTGAAAGACTGGCGGCTCTTCAAGAAGTAGTCATCTCCACTGAGTTAGTTGTATATGTACAACAGTTGTAGACAAATTGTATTCAATTTTTTCTATATAAGATACATGTATACAGTATTTTCATTGCATTGAGATATTGCACTGATAAATACTCCAGTTGTGTAGTACCTATCATTCCCCCCTGGATTACTTATCATAAGGCTTGTTAACGAGACTTTGGCCGATGAGTCATGGCTATGTAAACGCTGTAAAAATAAAAAAATAAAAAAACTCCGTGGTTTTAGTCCGCAAGCGAACTATACCGACCGAGCGACATAGCAATGGCCGTATTTACACATTCCACTATCCAGGCTTTTCAGCCGCCATGTAACAATATTAAAATGGACCTTAGGGAATTAGGACGGGGTGGTATGGACTGGATTCATCTTGCTAAGGATAGGGACCAGTGGCGGGCTCTTGTGAACACGGTAATGAACCTTCGAGTTCCATAAAATTGTGGGGAATTCTTGAGTAGCTGAGCCACCAGCGGCTTCTTTAGCGGGGACTCAGTTCCATGGAGTTAGGTAGTTAGTTATTTAATTAAGTTACATTCTCACGTCCCTACACATCTACATGGTGTGGTGCTTAGGCACAGGGAAGAATCCATTCTAGAGAAGTCCAAGTACTACGTAGAAGAGCTGGCTTGTGGCAGCCTCATCAGCATGCTGCACGTGACTCGTTGTAATTTCCGGCTGGGATGTGTTTACTCCATTCACCGAAGAGCATGAACACTCTGGTTCAACCTACAATTCAGAGATGTATTTCCTCTCCTCTGTTCTCGCTTCTCGAAGACAAGTGTTCTAGGAATTTGAGAAAACAGGGACGTGCCTAGCCACTAATCTTCGAGTGTGAAGGAGAAGTTCAGATCATCATAAAAGCAAGACTACTGTCAATCGGAGAAGGAACGAGCAATCAAGAAACAAAACTGATCATCCCTCAGACTGCAAAGATATTTTCTGAATTTCACCTACCTGTAAAATTGACTTTAGTGATGGTTTCTATGGGAACTATTTTTATTTCGTTTCTTATCGTCTAATTTCCATCTTAGCGTATTTTTAGAAAAACTATTAGAAAAGAATATCAAAATTTCATCCAAAGAGAATCTGGGTTATTATGAACTGAAGAAACATAAACCACGGTTCGACGAAGGATGCTCAAAATTATAAGATTAGAGGAAACAACCCAAGTTGCAGTAATTACAGGATCCAAGCGTAATACATAGGGATAATATGAATAACATAAACGTGAATGCAGCAGGCATTTCAGGAATAAAAGGAAGGAATATCTGAAACACTGTCCCCTTCTTGAGACGAAAAGTCTCTCTCAGCTGGTTCGAAATATTCTTCGGCTTTTAGGAAATTCGGATGTCCCTTGCCGTGTTCGCAAGAACTTGCCCCTGGGTCTATTGCGGTGTACTCATAAAAGAAAATCTGCGTGTCCTCTAGTCCGCAAGCGAACTATACCGACCGAGCGACCGCCGCTTGTCGGCAAAGTTAGTGACATCTTTTTGCGGATAGAGGGTGTCACGTGGTCAGCGCAACGGATCCCCACGGCCGTTAATTTCGGTTTTCTAGACCGGAGCCGCTATTCCCTTGGAATAGGTCCTCAGTTATCCTCACGAGGCTGAGTAGACCCCGTTCCAGATCCACTACTTCTCAGAAAATCTGGTAGCGCCAGGAATCGAAACCGGGACCTCTGGATATGTAGCCGGGAACTCTGTCCATTAGGCCACAGAGGCGGTCCACGGTGTACTCATACTTGAAGAAATGCTATCCCAGTACCAAGCGATGAGGTCGCATGAAGAATGAAGGAACGGAAACAGGCGTTTAGATCCACGCATTCTTAACACCAGAAATACGTGGAGGAGACTGATCAGTTCCACTCTCCTGTCGAAATGATCTCCCTCCCTGTACCATTGGACAACGAGCTTGGTGGGCCCCAGAACCTCTCAGCTTCCTATGAAGAGATATTTCTCCTAAACTTGCATCGAAATCCAGTTCCTGGGCTGTCCATTTTTGTGGCCATGTCGCTATGCATTTGTATATGCTTATGTGTGTTTTAATTGAAATATTTAAAGGGCTGGTGGAAGAATCATTATAAATAATTAACCAAATGATTCCATGGTGCAATGTCTTTCTTGAACGAGTGGCAGATGTTTAGTTCGGCTATCAGACCAGTCAATTTCAGCTTACCTCTTCATAGAGGTGAAGTATCTTTCTAATGTTGTTTTCCTTCCGTTTACAACTATGTCTTCGAGGATATCTCTTCTCCTGGGATTTAAAAATCAACACTTTCTACGTATTTATGGTTTTTAGCCATAAATGTTAACATTTCTTAGTGCAGCCGAATACAATCATTTCATTTTATTTCATTTGTATCAACTGTATTTCGCTCAGCTCTCACGGTTGGATTGATGCAGATGAATTCAAAATCAGATTCGAGAGGAAATACGCGAGCTATACAAGAATATTCATCCTCACAGGAGTTCGTGTCCTACACATGTGTTCATGTCTCCAGCTACATGTAAGACTCTGTGTATGCCCGATATAATTCTATATTTTGCCACTCAAATGTCACCGATGGAAAGTATTTGAGGGGTTTTTAGAACAAAGTGCCGGGAAGAATATTTGGATATGATATAAACTAAGAGTAGTATAAAGAACATTTCAAAACGAAGATCTTTCTGATTTCTTCTGCTCTTCACAAAATATTACTGGTCTAACAAAATCAAGGAGGATGAGCTGGGTGAGATATGCAGCATGCATAGGGAGATGAGAAATGCATACAGAATTTTAGTCAGAAAACTTAAGGGAAGAAATCACTTGGGAAGTCGGTAAGTAGATGGGAGAATATTATTAAAATGAATATATCAGAAATAGGATATGGGAGTAGACTGAATTCAACTTGTTCATGGCAGGATGGTAGAATTTTGTGACTGTGATTAATTATGCTTCGGATTGCATGAAAATCGTGGAATTATCTTATCAGATTATATGTCTGCTTTAAAGAAGGCTTCTGTTTCATCAGATGATCGAGAGTTCATTATTTTTAATTTAGCAGGTCGAAATATTTCGAACAAGAACACTGCCAACCAAATTACTTGTCTACGAAAATACTGCGCTTTTGTTTTATATGAAATGTATTATACTTTTCGACACAGAGCGCAACCACTGGTTATGTCAGATATTTGGCGGGCACTTAAAGTTTTGTTTACTGCAGGCTGCTTTGGAGTATTCCTGTTTTCTGCCTCATTAATGACACCGGAAATCTAACGGCCACAGACTGGACAGACCGGATTCAATTCATAGTGCAGATATTAGTATATTTCTTCTTATTTCCGCTAGAAGTCGGGCCAGTTAAGTCATTACGGCGATAAGGCTAAAGTCTGGACGTCCGGGGTGCGATTCTCGGCAGAAGTACGGATTTCCCTCTCACCGCAAATTCCAAACGGGCTTTGGGGTCGGCCCCATAACCCCGATAAGCATGAGGTGATGCTTCTCCTGGAGTAAAGTGACAAGGGCGTGAAGATGACAATCGCTTCCTCCTTACGCAAAAGTTAAAAATATGTGGCGCTATGCCTTCACTCCACCATACGTCTTCATGGCGTGGTGCTCAATTACGGCAACAGTTTGCAATTTTCTTTGCCTTTACTATGTCCGTAACGGTTCAGAAGTGTACCAACTGTACTGTCTCATTTGGTACAGTTTTAGAAATGCGTTGGTTCTATAGGATTTAATTTTAGACTGTTCGTGAGTTATTAATTAAAAAGTGTGAATGAAAATAGACCGTGCCCTATTTTAAGATATCCCTCATTTTCTTGCGAAAATTATGATAATCACAAAGCAGTTTTCGGTCTCCAGACCAATATTCGAACCCAGCCTCTCCCAAATATAAAGCAGGGGTGCTGATCATTACACCACGTCGTTCTGTAAATTCGAACAAAAGACGGCAGTACAGCACACGGCAAAGATCACTATACTAATGACAGCCTGCACATGAAAGTTACAACTCTGGCTCCCCTCCACGGTATAGTACTAGTCCATCGCCGCGTGGCTTCAAAATAATGACGTAGCAATGACGTAGTCGAAATTGGGCGGAGTTTGTTGCCTGGTCGTAGCCACTGTTACTTCAAGACGTTCCTCTTTTTCCATTGTCGTCGTCATGGAGAATAGGAACATTTCCCTTGCGTCGTTTTATAAGTTCGCTGTACTCTGAGACTGAGTTAGTGCATGGTCTGATGTGATGCATGTTGTTTGCTGGTTTGAAGTGGTAGTGACCTGTATAGGGGCAAGACGCGAAGAGAGAGTCAGACATATGGCATGTAGCTACGCCATCAATGTCATAGTTAGTGTCATCGAATGTTTTCATCGAGTGACTATATATTAAGATCATCAGCGTGTTCTTTTACTGATTTTTTTTTGTCGTAAGAACTGTACAAAAATAAATTATAAATTTAGCGTTTCTACTTCATAAAATTACATTCATTAACACATCTACAATTTAATGCTTTCGGAAGTTAAAATAAAATATTGTTTCGCTTTTAAATAATGTCTGACCCAGGAACGAAAACAGTGAAGGTCAAGTGGTGAAGAAAGTGTTATCTTAAAAGGAAGTTTTTGCTTAGTAGGTGCTCAGTGGTCGTTAATTTCTTCTACTTTCAACGTGAAAAGTTCCGTGAACGCATGTAGGATGCACAGACCATAGGATGCATGCAAAATTCGCGAACGAGACGAGAGATGAATGCAGGAGAGTTCAAGAACTACTACTGTCGGTCTAAAGTACGAAGATTCAGGTTAGGTATAAACGAGTCTAAAGTGAATGGTGGTGATAAGGAGCATAGATTACACAGCAAGTGACAAAGTGCAATAACTACCTAACAAATGAACAGTCAAGATCTGCGGATTTGACGCGAGATTTTTCTGTTCATAATTTATTGACGTGTGATTAAAAGTCAGCGCAAGCGCTCTGAAGTTTGGCGGGAAGACGAAGCCGCTCCGTGGCCCCGAGCAAGACGTCGCGTTGCTGCGAATAACCTGCAGAGGTAAGATATTCATTCGGAGGGCTCTCCCAAATACTGTGATTAAATTTGCTTTCTTGTTACGCGCGATATAAATAGCCTTACGACTGAACTGTTCTGCCCTGATTGGTCGCGCTTATTGTAAGATATTGTAAACAAATCAACTGTCTCATCTTCTCAGTTATGAATGAAAACAAACCTCTATTATCATACCGTCTTTCAACAGTTAAAGCCATCAGTTTGCAAATTTGAAATCAAAAAGAAGGTAAGAAAGAAATAGTGCTTAATTAAGCATAGGACAGCAAAGTATTGGGAGAGTAGACGTCTAGTTCTACGCATATTCAACCTCGGGAATAGAGACAGGTTATTTCACGCTTTAGCAGCTTTCAGTCCTAGGTAAAGGGCCCGCCCCTCGGTACCTATTCGATCTGAGGCTTGGTGGGTCGCAGAATCGGTTTGGAAACTGCCCATTGGGAATCGAACCCCGATTTCTTGGTTATCCAGCTTGTAGCCTAGTCGTTATACAGACTGAGCTAGCCTGTCAGGCCTCATGAGGATAATTGAGGAGCTATTTCAAGGAGATAGCGGCTCCGGTCTAGAAAACCGAGATTAACGGCCATGAGGATCTGTTGCGCTGACAACGTGACACCCTCTAACCGCACAATTTGTCACTAACTTCGTCGACAAGCGGCGGTCGCTCGGTCGGTATAGTTCGCTTGCGGACTACAGGCCATGGAGTTTAAACGTCCGTGGAAATGTTAAAATAAAGACAGCTTTACTCCAGAAGAGAAAAAGCCTCTCTCCGGTACAGACCGCGTGGGGCCCAGGGCCGATTTGGATGTGGTGGTGGTGCAGAGAAAATTACACGCCTCTACCACGATCAAGTTCCGGTAGCCTAATCTAAAATAGCAGAACTGCAGAGGGCAACAAACAAGGCAATCAATTTCATCTTCATTTTTTACATAATTTTACTTGGTTTTCATAATGTTACACTACCGGTCATTTTGTTGCTGGAACCATCACGGTTCAGTAATATCGTTTTGCAGGAACTTTATAAACTGCGATGAAATTAGTGCGAGCTTGAGGTAAGGCGTCTAATTATTTGAACTAACTTCGGGAGCATAACCATTAACTGATGAAACCGGAAATTATAAAGAAGTTTATCTGGAAAACCTGAAGAAAGAGGAAACTTTAGAGTGGCGGAAAATATAAGAATTAAAACAGATTTAGAGAAACATTTTGTGAAGAATATTGAGAAAGTTTGTTATACGGATCAATGGTGAGCTTTTATGAACATGGAGATGAACTGAGGTTTCATATCATCTGCGATCTTCCTCGACGAGTTGAATTAGTGTCACCTATACAGCATTGAGTTTCCTCAGAATTTGATACGAGGCTCTGAGGCAAACTAAGGAAATTTTCTCCAACCCCTCGGTTCAGATTAGAACTCTGGGCTTGCAAGGGTGTCAGCTTCATCTATAAATTAATTATAGACTTGAATGAACTGAGTAATATTATATTCTGTCTTAGGTTTGCATGTAGTTGGTTATCGACGAAAGTCCGTCATGAATTAGTGCAGTTGTGACTTCCAGAGACCTTAAGCCCTGACACTATTCGCCACTAACACTTCAGTGAACACGGCCATGCAACACGAGTGTTGAGCCTCAACGTAACAGTAAATTTCTATGCACTTTATCATGACAGAATGTTATCCTCAGTGCCAAGAAGGGCAATGGGCGTACGCCTATAGAGAATATAACTAACGCCATGGGGCTGAGTCCTTGATAAGCCACCAGTCGCTAAGCTACTCAAGCATTTTCCAAAACTTCATGAAACCAAATTTTCATTACCACTTTCACAAGAGCCCTCCATTGGTCACTATCCTGAGCCAGAACAAGCCAGTTCATACCACCCTACACAACCCTCCAAGATCCATTTTTTTATTATCCTCCCACCTAGGTCTGAGTCTTTACAATGGCCTTTTTCCTTCTGGCTTTCCCACGAACTCCTATTCTCGTCATGCGTGCTACGTGCCCTACCCATTTCATCCTCCTTGACTTCATCATTCTAATTATGCTTGGTAAAGAATACAGATGCCGGTCACGGTAGCCGAGCGGTCTAAGGCATGTACTGTCTTCGCTCGCTTGGAAACCGGGATCGTGGGTTCGAATCCCAATCAGGGCATGATGTTTAGTTTGTGTGTGTGCGTTTTTCTGTGTTTGTGTACAGGTAGAGACCTTGCGACGAGCTGATCACCCGCCCAAGGAGTCCTACCGAATGTGTAAGATCTAGAAAACCCGAAGTGAACGTAGAAGTTCATGGAGGTAGGCCTAGGCCCACTGGGGCTGTAGTGCCAAGGAAAAAAAAAGAATACATGTTATGAAGCTCCTCATTATGCAGTCTTCTCCAACCTCCTACCATTTCATACCTCTTCATTCCAGATATTCTCCTAAGCACTCTGTACTCAAATACCTTTGGTTTATTTTCTTCCTTTAACGTCAGAGACCAAGTTTCACACCCTCACAAAACCACAGGCAAAACAGGCATAATTATAATGTTCCAAATTTTACTTTTCTAGATATCAAGCAAGGAAACAAAAGGCCCTGAACTGAATGGTAGCAAGCATTACGTGAATTCAGTCTGTTCTTAATTTCCCTGTGAATCAAACTTTAATTTGATACTGTCCTTTCCAAATATAAGAACTTCCGCACATTTAAAAAATCTATTAAGTATCTTTACGTTATGATTTTGACCTACACTCTGGTAATGAGGCATCAACATGCTCCTAGTTTTCTCTGCGTTTACTTCTAGACCATTCTCATTAGTTGCGTCAATTAGAGCTTCTGTGTTTCCTCTGTCTTATTTATATTACCCCCAGTAGATTTACACAATCGGCACAGACTAGCAGCTGATGTGTCGCATTTAATTTCAGTCCCTGAACCATTCTAATGATATATTATAAAGCAAATTTAAAAACAATGGCGATAAAGCATCTCCCAATTTTAGACCATTCTGAACAGAAAAAATACCGTATGAAACAAATATTTACTTACAGTGATTAGTCCAGGACCCGGATATTAATGACAAGATATTTTTTTTCCTTGTATCATATGCGATGCTCTTAAATATATAAATCCCGGAAATGAGCTGCTGGTTGCAGAAATGTAAATTTTATAGGTAATTTTTGGTCACGTTTCGTCATTTTTAAATTTTAGATCATTTCTTCAGATTTCGAGTAATTTTTCGGTAAATGTTTGAACTTTTAAGAATATTTAAGTTTTGAGGTTTTCACGGCGATGACAATGAAGAAAGTTGTCTTCTGGGTTTAGGCACCGTGTATTCTTCGTTTTGGCCGACGTTTCGGAGGAACGTAGCGCCTCCATCTTCAGAGCAGTTGANTCATATATTTTCTGAAATGTGAATAATATGGAAGTAAAGTGTTCTTTCTTTTTCTGCTAATCGCTCTCTACTAAGACAGATTCAGTTGCACTCCAAGTACCTTCTACCACAGTACACAGTAATACGTTGTAATCCTGTCCCGTCGTGTCCGTTCGTTTTGCGGAAAATGCTGACAATACATACATAAAACATTTTTAGTTGGCAGCAAGGTATGACGGCGGTCACTCACACTGCGACTCCTTTCAAGTTCTTTGCAAAGCAATTTATTTAGTTACAAATATTTCTAGTAGGAATCTCTCACTTCGTATGACATACTGATATTCAGTAAAACTTCTTCTGCGTTCACTTTCTTGCCCTTGACCGTACAGACAAGGTTACAGTTGACGAAAGGTTCTCAGTGTGAAAAGTTCAGTTTTGTGTTACGCTAGAGTGATTAATTTTATCACGATGCCTAAAGCAAAGCCATCTACTTCGTGTCATTTAGTTGTGGATGAGTTTGGAGATGATATGCTTTCAACATGCCGTGACATTTTATACTGTAAGATGTATGACACAAAAACAGCGGCAGAAAAAAGATGCAACATTAATACATAAATAGAGTGGGCAATTGTGGACTGGATTCAACCTGCCCAGGACAGGGTACAGTGACAGTGAATCTGATAACAAAACTTAGGGCTCCATAAAAGCGGGAAGAATTTTATCCAGCTAAGTAACTGTAAACGTTTGAAGACAGACCTTGTTATCGCGGCGTATGTGATTGGTTATTAACTCTCTGTATTGTGTTGCGTTACCTTCCTTAACATCTCTTTGCACGGGATATAAAGTTTGGTCTACTTCACCAGAAAATCATAAGAAAAACCGAAATCCTCTCATGACCCACGCAGTGCATTTGTTTCCTTTGTGCTGTGTAATAGGCTTTGGAGTTACAGTGTAAGGCCAGATCCTTCATTTTCATACATTTCGGGGAACCGAATTCTACCATCAGATTTCTCTTACTTGTATGTCCATCTGCTTGTCCGTTTTCTGAATCCAGTATGGACGTAGCCGGGATTGCTCAGTCGGTATTTTATGTATACTACGGGCTGAAAGATCAGGAGCCTGAGTTGGATTCCCAGCAGAGACGGGACATTTTCCTTTCCTCCATATCGTCCAGCACACCACTGCGGCCCACCGAGGGATATTTCCCCGTAAATAAAACGCCACGGGCGTAAAGCTGACCATCCAGGTCCATCTACTGTCGAAGCTAAGAGTGTAATGTGCCAATATGTTTTACCTCCAATACCCTTACGCGTTCATAACTCCGTGGCCTGTAGTCCACAAGCAAACTATACCGACCGAGCGACTGCCGTTTATCGGCGAAGTTAGTGCCAACTTTTGCGGATAGAGGGTGTCGCGTGATCATCGCAACGGATCCCCACGGCCGTTAATTTCAGTTTTCTAGACCGGAGCCGCTATTTCCTTGAAATAGCTCCTCAGTTATCCTCACGAGGCTGAGTGGATCCCGTTCCAGACTCACTACTTCTCACAAAATATGGTAGCGTCGGGAATCGAACCCGGGACCTGATCTGTAGCCAGAAATTCTGAACACTAGACCACAGAAGCGGTCAAGTGTTCATAATGTGATG